CGCTACTCTGCCCACTAATGCTATGAGGCATTGTTCCTTGACACAACTAGTCAGCATCAATGGCACCACCATCGGTGAACTTGGTATCTATTTAACTCATCAACGCTGTTGATGAACTGCTGACCACTTTCTCTGTCACGGACTAACGCATGCCACTAGTTGCATGCTATATCCTCAGCACTAAGAAATGATGAACAACAAAGTCGTCAGGTAACTACTCAAATCATCATAGCACTCGCCCCTTATCATTGACCGAAACTTGACTAGGCTTCAGTTTTGAGGGTCACAATTGAAGTGGCCACCTTAGAGGCATTGGTGATAAGCCTCTGATGATAGTTAACACTACCCATTCAAGAGAAGACCGGTTAGTGATTAGTTCATCTTACACCTTGGTTTTGCTTCTCTCAAATTAAATTTTATCATAGATGACCGTCCATTGTTTGGTGGTCCATTATATTAACTCATCACTGAACTCCATATTAGTGTCCAGTCATTGGTGTGTCTCCACAATTTATTTGGCCGCCTTCTACGTTGGTCAATGGCAATGTGAACAGAGGCGCATTCATGTGTCCTCAAATTATCAGTGCACGGATGGGTACCTAGTGAGCAGGATTGAACCGGTGATGATTCTCATGACGTGACAACACAAGTTTGACTAGCAGCGATGATTCCCACATTATCTCTAATTATCCATGTATGGAGTAATGGCACTTCCACCACCCCTCACTAGTGTTGCCTCACTGCCTCTCCCCCCATCGAAGTGATATATTATCAAAGCCTCCACTTTTCCTTCCCTTGTTCACACTAATCTACAACACTTCTAATGGCACATCAACACATTGTCGTCGCAGAGCCCAAGTAGGCTAGATGAACCAGGAAGTGCTTGGTCTTTGACGTGCAGTTAGATCATTCCCCACACCAGCCTCCGGCGGAGATGACGACCAACTGGCCAAGCAGTGGGCATCATGCGAAGCCTTTATGGTCGAGTGGGAGGAGGACAACCGTGCGTAGGAGGAAGCTTGTCAACGCAATGAAACCATCGCCAACTTCAAACAATTATGGATAGAGTCAATACGAGTAGAGGCGAAGGCCTGTACCTCCACAGACGCAACTATAGGCCCCGGCCATGCAATTGCAGCTAGCCTAAAGCCGAGATGGAAGTGTCACAAGAGGCTGTATAACTGGCCTTGGGCCGAATAGAGAGAGCTCACGAGGTGTTTTTCATCTATTTTTTTATTATTGTAGGTTCTATTTCGTGCATGTAAAAATCACGAAATAGAACCTATAGATTAAGGGAATTAAATCAATGGGATTGGCACTGAAAATCTATCATCAGCCATTAGAAAACTAAAATTCCTATGCCCTAGTTCAGTGAGAATTACCAGCCTTATATGGTAGTAAGTACTATTGCCATATCACTAACCGGACAGAAAGCAAGACTGTTGAGGTACGGCTACTCATACTATTGTAATGCCATTCAAAATACTTAACCCTACTGAGATATCTGACACTGACGTATGCCCTGCCTAACTTTTGATATCACAGTGTCCCCTGTCCTACTTGCTGCCCGGTGGCACCATCTCCTGACCTCCCCGCCACAAAATTTGTTCTACCACATCATTGTCGCACACCATCTTATCATCAACATGCCATGACCGTGGTGACCATGTGTGTTCGTCATGTGTGTTGCCATGTGTGGCCGTACGAGGACTGGTGCATGCGTGGTGTTGCCAGGTCTCTCATGCTGTCGTGCGCTATCGTTCACCCCGACATCACTTCCATGTTCTTTATCCACGACAACGGCCATGATGGTGAGTTATAGTACACACATATGTTTTGTGTTAATCCCTAAGCTATTTTCTGCGAATATATTGTTTCTAATATGAATTGTGCTATACATCATATTACCGTGGTAACAGTATGATAAATTGTCATTCTGCTATATCACTGAATGGCAATGCACATGTTAAATTGTATATGGTGAGAGTTGAAAAAATATTGGGTTGCAATTTCTATGTGATGGGGACATCACTACCACAGTTACACCCACAGCCCCTGCTACTACCCCTGTTGGAGCTATTACTAGTGTTCGTGCATACCAATTAAAATACCAAGTACTTTTGTTTCTTAGTAATTATTCTAATGTTCATAAGAATATGATGTTGCCTAAATTGGATAAGTTTGTTTTGTTTACGAACGAAGGCCCTAGAATGGACAAGAAGGATGAACACTAGAGTACGATCAAGTGTCGAGATGAAGGCAGACGCAAAGGGAACAAGAATGGAGTTTCCAGTGGAGTTTTCAGCACTTTGAAGCCACAATGATGACATAAAAATACATGGACAAAATGTACAAGACGGACTTTCAAAAATATTCATTCTTAGTTTGTTTTAGGTGCCACACCACATTATTTTTTGGCCAAGCCCATTTAATTTTGAAATAGATTTAACAGGCACTTTCCAAAGTCTGTAATAAGCAGCAAAATGACTTAGGATAGAATTTAGTCCCACCTTGAAAAGGGTGGACGGAATTCACCTCTGTCTCACTATAAATACAACACTTAGGGTGTCATTTTAGTGTTGGGTTTTGTTTAGATTTAAAGTTCGCCATAGTTGCAACTCGCTTCGTTCGTTTGTATTTAACGACCAGATTAAAACATCACCAAAACCCACTTGGTTCTATAAAGCTTTCCTCTTAAATTCGGAATATCCATATTGCAATTTGAGTTTCTTGCTTGTTCTTCGTTTGTGTGCAGGAAATAGACCTCATGGTCAGGTTGATTATACTTCGCCATGGTCAATAAACCCTCAGAACTAGTTTAGCAATTGCTAAGGCGCGACGTCTTCACACGTTCATAGTCTGATCGTCAAAGTTGACTTCCATAAAAAACGAGAGCTACCTCTTATCAAAACATTAGGAGACCTTCGCCTCTATCACTATGCTATAATGTAAAACTACTAACAATTACAAAAATAAGCATGTTGCAGTTTCAATATAATAATGTCATTGTTCTAAAAGTTACAAAAGAAGAATGTTCTGATTGCTATGTCATGGTACTACATGTTCAATTGTTGTTGTGCTAAGAGTTTGAAAATATATGTATGTTCCTATGGCTGCATTAGAATTTTAGCCTATCCTCTCGGCATGTTTGTATATACTGTTAAGGATATTCATTATGACCTTATTCCCTATCATCTCATGTGGACTCCTTCTTGAACAGATATAGTTGTTTCTATTGCAGTGCACAAAAAGATCATATTGTTGGTTTTGTCCTATGAAGAACATTAATGAAGCCAACATGGCCTGCTCTATTTTGTGCCAGCCACCTGCTTCTTGGAGAAGCCATGGGAAGGAGATTATATTTCTCTACGTAGAGTTTATCACTCGGTTCCTTAGGTAGACTACTTGAAAAATAATTAGTGTTGTCTTCTATTTGTGTTTAGCTAAGTATAATTTGGCTTTTTTTCAAACAAGGAGACATCATTCACCATGTTGCTATTGTGACCCTTCTATTTATTATACAGATCACTTTAATTTAAAGAGTGCTCTGTACAGTGCAACCGAAATGTCTGGCCACTGACCTTTCTCAATTTCTGTCGCATTGTACAAAAAGATTGATTCTTCGCAAGATTACCTGGTACAACTGCGCCAACTATTTATTTGAAACGACAACTGTTAGCAAGACAATGACATATTTATTACACACTATATCGCTCTACTTAATTCACACACACACACACACACACACACACACACACACACACATATATAGTGATTTTTCCAAAATATTTTTAGCATGCTTTACCACGAGCGTCGATATCTGGCTATTGAAATTCAACATACGTTAATTCCTTCAATAGTCCAGATATTGAATGCAACATCATAAATCTACCAAGAAGTTGCAAACAAAGGATACAAAATCGTCTAAGTGAAAAACTACCAATGTGATTATCATGATATGAAACTATTTGTATACAACATAAAAGATTTTATATATGTGATTTGTACTTGATGTTATGATTTGTGTTTTTATGTAGCTGAGGAACACCGCGGTAGTCCTACCGGAATGCTAGCACTGCAGCTGAAAACTGTCAGCCAGAATTTGACATCATTGGTCAGCCTCCACATAGAGGTTGGCAGTGATATGCCACTGCTTGCTGCCATTGGGATACTTAGCATTGACAGGCTAGCCAATCTCTAGTATTCATCATCACTAATAAGCCACCTGGCCCGTCAATGATTGCAATGTCATCACTGACCCGAACTACAAACATTTCACTCCTGTTAGTGATGATACAATTTGGCCGGTCACTGCTCTTTTGTTCTATAGTAGAGGGTGCATGTTCTCGCACCAAGTATGGTAAAATGTGTTGTCTTTGTGCCGCTAAACTAGGAGCCCCTTGAAAATAGCTAAGAGTTCATTGACTAGTGGACTATGAACTTCGACACGTCCTCGGCTAGCCACCACATGGGGCTCTCCTCCTTGGTGATCCTAATAGCACGGTGGATTTGCATAGATTGCAATGCATCCATATTCAAATCTGAGAAGCCTTCCATCTTCCTACTCACTTTGATCATCCATGACAAAGCTCGTCTCTATTTGTGTATTGGTGCAACTAGCATGGTCAGTGTCTTGCCTGAAATTTAGCCCTAGACATTCAACTTGAGTGCTCGCTAGAGCTACATATCCCCACCAATACGCACTGCATCTTGACATTTACATGCCTCATGGTGTTCTTCTACTCTCTCCCTCTCTACAAATGGAAAGATACCAACTTGTTTGCCTATTCGTGAAATACAACAATAAAAGTTCTAAAAGGTGTGAAATCTCTAATCAATACTAACCGCTTCTAAAACGATGAACTCCTAAAGGTGTGTGGTTGGACTTTATTTTCCGACTATTATGAATATATATAAGTTGCATCTTGTAGTATATGTCAATTAAAATGACATGCATTTTGAAGCAAATGGAGTAATTACAAATGGAAAAACCAACTTACCTGAATTGTCAAACCCAAATCAAGGATGCCACTCTTCAGGCGTTCCCTAAATGAATCCAATCCCCTCCTTGCGATGTAGCTAAACCGGTGTATATCAAGATCTACCTCAAAGTAGTTCTCACCCTAGTTATGTAACAGATAAAACACTTAATTTCATGTAGACTAGTATAATGCCAAATTTATTATTATATTTACAAACATTGAAACAATGTAGAGAACAATGAAATGGTTTTGATCCACTTGACAATGTTTATACAATTTATTTATTTATAATTGTATGGTTATGTTTAATTAAGAAATTTAAAGAGGAAAGTTACTATCTATAAAGCATATTTGAAGGTCTACTGTGTTATCAACTAATTTATTAGTTTTGACATGTTTTTTTATTTTCTTGGCCTGGAAACACACAAAAACAAATACACACAATATTTACAATATTTAATCGTGTCCATTCAATAATATATGAAAACTAAATCATTTCTTAACCTCATAAAAACTATGTTGAGGGCGGGAAAGGACTGGCTTCTCGTTGTATGCTTGCACAAGCTTTTTCTCTGTGGAACTCAACTGAAGATCATCTGGGTTAACCAATCCAGCCATGATTTTCAACCGATCTCTATATGCCATTGTAGATTCTGATGCAAAACCTTTCACCTTCTCACATTCATCCTCAAGAAATCTCTGCCAGAAGAAACATTAATACAACTCATTGGAAAGAAGTTATAATATTACAACATTAGTATGTTGACTTGAGAAGGCACTCACCACGATGGATTCCTTGAAATGCTCTGAAACCTCCTTGTCAAAGTACTCAGAGAGTCTAAAGTATAAACAAAGGCTGAACCCTTCTCCATCGCTGTCCCCAAGGAACATAGCAGCAGGATAGGTAGGCATCTGTGATTTTAGGAAAAGACGGAAATGAAAATCGGAGCAGCAAAGATGACAAACTATGTATGCCTACTAGATATACCTGGATGTTGACAATCAACAGTGACGGGAGCTTGTGGTGTGATTTGAACTGTGGAAGATCAATGTGTTCGGCAATGTGCGAAACCTTCTTGGGGCTCGCAAACAAGTCAACGCCTATAGGGTAGTATGCGGCATAGTTCGGAGCTGGACATTTTTTCTTATCTCTGAAAAATAGAAACTAAAATTAGAGGTTAGGTATGGTCATCCCCTCTATCAACTAGATTTTTCTCTACAGTGTTTCATGCCTGAGGAATGTTTCACTCCTTAGTTTGAAGATGGATGGATCAATCCGTGACCATCTTCCGGGTGTGGGCTTTTCCCCTCCAGATGGGATCGTCATCCCTCCCTTGGGTCGGATGACATATTTCTTTGATTCACCTACATTATTTACATTGTTAGGTTCATGCATCTTCGTATGGTGCAAAGATAGGAATTTTACCATCAATTATTTATGTAAAAAAAATGAATTGAGAATGTCTAGCCTGATGTGGTTGCCTGGAGTTGTTCCTTTATCTATTATGTTACCTTATAGTTTCTACTAGGATATCATCCTCATATGAGATATGAGGAAATTAACATTTAAAGCCTTTTGTAGGCTGCCAAAACTTGTGCAAGATCCCACTACCATTTAGGGTTATGACCAATGGTCATTTTGGATTTTGAACATCAAGGGAGGGTGATTTGCAACCTCCTATACAATAGTTTATGAAGAGGTGTGATGAATTTTAGGTTAGCCTCCATTGATGAAGTAAAATATAAAACCAAGAGAGTATGCGAAGAACATGAAGATTGCAGGAAGATCTTCCCATCAAGCAAAGAAAGTTCCTCCCCAAAGTTGTGAAAAATAGATCTACCACCTTATCGCTTTCAAGTTGTATATCCATGTTGTTTGGTTAGATGTTCCATCTGTAGCTCTCATAGTCCCTCATCTTGTTGTTGTCATCAAAGAACCAAATATATTCATGTATAAGAACATGTAGTGCAACCTGGAGAAGAAAGTGTTGTATATCACATTTGATAATAGTGGAAATAGTTTGGGTCGCTTTGGATTGTGGATTTTACCATGCAAAAATTTGGTGTCAGTGTGTTAACATTACTATTGTAGTTAAGATTGGTGCTCACCCAAATCAATGTTTGTGGTGTGTTTGGTCTGTTGTGAGAGTTATTTCCTCATATCCTTGAATTAGTACAAGAAGTGGTGCAAGATTGCTTTGTTTCCACTATAGGTTTAGATCATATGTGGGTGCTAATTCCGATTGAGGTATACTAGCAAGATTGCTAATCCCAGTTGTTTGATTGTACTCGAAGAGCTTGCTCGCAATTTCTATGGAAGAAGGCGCCACACCAAGTGGCATGATAAAACTTGCTTCTTCCCATTTATCTCTATGAAATCCTATGATGAAAGACATCCTTCTACAAGGATCCAATTGTAAAGATAAAATACACAGCAATGTCACATAAGAGGAATGGAGAGTGATGCATAGAAAGGCAATTGGTATGAATTGATCGCACATTAACCACCATTATTCCACCATGTTGAAAATCAAAAAAATGTGTATGAGATGTGCCAGAGTTTAGAGGCCATATATGAGAGGAAGACATAAATGTACAGAGCTTCGGTGATCAAAATACTTGTTAAGTTTGGGTACTGAGATGGGACAATGTGATTGCACACCTGAATGCCTCCTAAGGCCTTATAAATCAACATTCAATGTGGAAGATCCACTTTGAGGATGAGGTGTGAGTATTGTTGCTAATTGGTTCCATCCTTAATATTTGGATCATGCTTTTTTGCATCCTAAAATATCCAGGTCCAGATTGTAAGCTCACTTTGGAGATGGTGAAGAACAATATGCTAAATGCAGATACTAGAAAGAAGAAAAAGGGTGAGAATGACAATGCTTCTTTTGATGTGTATGTGCATGAAACTGATGGGAAGAATTAGAATCATGGATGCAGTCACACAAGAGTTCAGTAAGCTAGAGATAAATCTAGATGGAGATGAAAGTCTAAATAGATAAAAGAAATGACTTGCTTTAATTGTGGCACATCGAGACGTATTATGTGCGAGTGCTCGAAATACAAAAGAGATCTTGTCAAGGGTAAATATAAAAACAAAATTGAGAAAAATGTTGGGAACAGTTCATCCATGACTTCATAAGTTGAAGACTACTTAGTCACTAAAGATGAATAATTCTATAGTGATGTTCATGATATTGCAATGAGTTTGGCTGTGTAAGTGTGTCCTCCCACATTACATATAAAATGAGTAATACACATCCTAGACAACATACGCTACAAAAAAGTGAGTATGGGAAATAGTAGTTCACCGAAAGCTATTGGCAAGGTCTCTATATGCATTGAGGAATAGAAATCTTGCATGTTGGTGAACAATGATGCTAGGCAAGTTCCCAATATAAGTCTAAATTTGTTATTAGTGGTCAAGCTTCGTTATATCAAACATCCTAGTTATTTTGGTGAAGGATAATGGAAGCTCACCCAAGGCTCTTTGATTATTGTTGAAGGAAGTGGCAAGGTTTTCTCTATAAGAATAAAACCAAGTTGTCTATATAAGTGTTGAACATTGCCGAGAAACAAATCTCAATTGATTTTTGGTGCAACAAGCTTGGTCTTATGAGTGAGAATGGCATGAACTCTCTTTACAATTGTGTTACTGGAAAACAACATAGGCTTGCATAGTTACAATCACTCAACCATGCGAGAATGTTCTTGATATTGTGCATGTTTGCTCCACGACGAAAAATCCATTAATGGAGAAATATCTTTTTGAATTTCATTGTCGACCGTTCTTGAAAAGTTTTTATTTTGTGTTGAAAACAATCATAGGGTGCTAGAATCTTCAAGGATTTCCCTACCAAAGTGGAAAGTGAAACTCACAAGATGCTACAACGTGTGATACCATACAATTGTGTTGAAATGAAGGCCCTTTAGAAAGGTACCATAAAAGTATGGCATCATGCTTGAGGAGAGTCTACCAAAGGCATCTTATGTCAATGGTCTTTAAAAAGAGTGAATAGGCAACTCACAGAAAGAGTCATACTTACAATCTCTTATGCTAAACTACCTAATACATTTTACACTGAAGGATTCATGAATTTTATATGGTTGACCTATGTTACTTAGTTCCTCTTGTTGGTGATATTCCTTAAACATTTGGCCAGGGAAGGAGGTATCTCACAATCACTAGAAGGTCTTTGGTTGCAATGCATTTGTGCTCATACCAATGGATGCGAGATTCAATCTTTATAGCAAGACAAAGTAATGCATCTTTCTCAGCTAGCCGAGTGAGGAGTATGGCTATAGTTTGAGGGATCCAACTAATAGAAAGATTTGGAGAAGCAACATATGATAGTGGGAAACCAAAGAAGACAAAGACATCACATCTTAGGTTAACATGGATCCAATTCCACTTTTTCTCATGCATGGGGATCATGGACGAGATGATGACACTAAAGACAATGAACATGCAACTGTCCAAGGCAGTATATGTCAAAGTGATGAGGAGCCTCTAATAATCATGATAATGATGGTAATGATGATGCTAATGACAGTTCACCTGATTCATCACGAGTGCAGGAGAAAAGAAGTGGGGAGAGATCAAGTGCCTTCATGCAAGTATCCACCATATCTATATGTGGTGATACACAATCCAAGTAAGTCTTAATGCTATGAGGAGATAATGCTGATAGACGCAAGAATGAATGGTTGGAAGCCATGCAGGACGAGACAAATTTTCTATATGAGATTGACACCTTGGAGCATTCTTAAATGATGGCATAGAGGTCTTGTATATGGACAAGTCAATGGGTTTCTTAGTTGTGGGCAAGGAGCATTATTTGTGGAATTAAAAAGACCTTCTATGGCTTGAAGCAAGCTCCACGTTGTGAACAAGAAGTTTGAGTCTTTTATGACTGGCGTTGGTTACCATAGAGCACACCTGGGCATTATGTCTTCATTAAGAGGTGTGTCCATGCTGATTTTATTATTATCTTGCTATATGTTAATGACATATGTTCGAAAACGCACAAGATGATTGCTCTCCTTACTAAGGCATTGAGTAAAACATCTGTCATGAAGGATTTGGGACCAACCATGCAAATAGTCGGCATGCGAATCTCCCATGATAGATCGGGGAAGCTGCTTTGTCTCTCACAAGAAAGACACACTGCGAAGGTAGTTGAAATGTGCAATATGAAGTATGCAAAATCATTTAACTCTCTACTTGTAGGCCATCAAATTTTGGCTGCTGAACAATAACCTACAAGCATGAAAAGAAAAAACAAATGATTTAAGTGTGTACCAGTATGTTGTGGGTCGTTTGATGTATGCCATGGCGTGCACTAGGCCTGATATTGCCTATGGTTTTAAATTTGTTAGCCGTTCATAAAAAAATCATGTAAAGCTCATTAGGTAGCAGTGAAGTGGATTCTCGAGTATCTCAAAGGAACTTCTACATCATGTTTATGCTTTGGAAGTCGTGATCTTAGATTGCAAGCCATTACATATGGAGATTGTTGTGGTGAGATCGATCATAGCAGGTCAACCTTTGGACACCTAACAACTTGTGTAGGGGGACCAGTGTCATGGCAATCAAAATTACAAAAAAAGTGTGTTTATGCAAGAACTTTATATGCCTAGTACAAATATGAGGATGATGCTTGTAAAACAATGTTGCGGATGAGAAATTTTTGCAAGAGCTTGGCATGAAGCAAGAGAAGTGTGTTTTGTTTTGTAGAAACCGAAGCGCTATTAGTATTTGCAAGAGCACAATGATGTGAGGTACCCTTGGATTCCATATGTAGCAATAATGTTGCGAATTTCAAGTTGTTATAATTTTACAAGAATCATACCGACAAGAATGGTTCAGATAGGATGACCAAGATATTACCAAATGAGAATTTACAAGCATGTCGAAAGGTAATAGGCATGCCCATGCCCCCTCATGAGATTTGTTGGGAGATCCTCCTCGTGTGGGTTGTGAGGATATGACCATTCACAATCTTTTGATGCAGCACAAACCTGTCAAAAAGACCACTACTCCGTATGGTTAATACCTAGGATCACTTCAGAGTTTGCACACAAGAAAGGGGGATGTACATCCTCCCATCAAGTACACTTGGAGGTGTGACAAACTTTAGGTTGGCACCTACTGGTGAAAGAGAAGAAGAAACCAAGAGAGAAAGGGGATGAGAGGGAGACTGAAGGAAGATATTTCCATCATGTAAAGGGAGTTTCTCCACAAAGTTATTAATATGAGATCCACCATATTGTCTCCTTCAAGTGGTTGTTCCACCCTCATTAGTTTGATTTTACTAGTACTGAGTTCTAGCAATCTAAAATCAAGTTGTTGTCATGCTAGATAGAGAAATTTTGATGTATTAGATTCTCCAGTGCTATCTATAGTACATTTCTTGTATCCCACATTATATAAGAGTGGAAGAAGATTTTGGTGGCTTCGTCCCATGGTTTTTACCCTACCTTTTGGTTTCTGCATGTACATATATGGTGTTGATTTGCTGATGCTATTGTAGTAGATTAGATTGTCTCTCCTGATTAGACAATATCTCAGGTGTGTCTAGTTGTTGCGAGGTATTTTACTTATATATGTTACTATGTAGTGCGACTTTAGGCCCCAGGGAGCCCGGGATGCTGCCTAGGGCATGGACAAGAAAATTTTCATGGACAATAGCATACATTAGCACAGTAACATATTATAGCTCACTATAGCTAAAAGGTCGGTCAGTGCATGTGATGATCCTAGCTCTTGCTGTTGCATAAGATTCCCTTTTGTGTTAAGAAATGATCTTCGAATTAGTACATGAAGTGTTTCTCGGAGTACCTTCTTTCTGTTGTGGTTTAAGACCATAAAGACAACATTTTCAAAGATTTTAGATTTTTCTACTTTATATTCATATAAATAGGTGGTTTCTATATATAAATCAGTGACATGACCATGTGGTTCAAAACAAACTATTGAGAGGGCCTGAATTGTGGCTTACCGATGTCACCACCACATTGGGAGTCCTCGTCGCATGGTGTCCTCCTATAGGAGAGCCGTATAACTGTAGACTTCCTCTTCGCCGGACTGACACAGGTGAGTTGTTGCATCTTTTCATTGAAACTGATGGAATGTAGCAGCTTGCGTATGCGAGACGGGGTGCTAGGATCCTTGTCGTTCTTGTCCTCTACATCATTTTTCTCCTTGGAACTTGCCATACACTTGTTGGCACATATTTCCATGCTTTGGCTCCTATGTGCAGGATCATCACCACCTTTAAATGTGAGATCACATGTCAGAATGCAGTCTTTGTGCTGGTGTTTTCAACCTTCCTTTTAGGCGCTTACATACATACCATCATCTCTTTTCAGATATTGTTCAATTGACAATGTCATGGGGACACCCCGCCATAATTCGACGATGCGGGAGAGAGCATCAGCAAAACGTGATGCCTTCTCTCGCTTATTCTGCTCCTCATCTTCTTCTTCATCATCGGAAAAATCTGCAGTAAGGGACATACATGGACCAAGGAAAACAATCAATAAACAGTATATAGAAAATAAGGCATGTAGAATTTAAAGGGCGAAAATACCTCCATCTAAGCTCTTGAATTCCTCCTCATCAGAATCGTCGTCAAGGATGCTAACAGAGTCGAACCAGGCGTCTTCTTTGCAGCAACCACTGGAATCTCGCTCGCTGTGGTGCCACTCCATCTGGGTGAGTTGGAACGTCTTGGAATGATCCGACTTGCGCGCTGACTCAACATGGACTATCTCACTCATCGAGAAGTCAGTGGTGCGCCCTCTTGCATCCACAATTCGTGGTTTGGGCCCATCCGGCATCACTGTCCGGGGATTGCTGCGCCCTCTTCTGCCCCTCCTTGTTGTGTAGTGCCTCTCCGTCCGACGATGCTCAAGAGCTGACTTGGAAGCACATGAACCCATTGTGCTATTTGCTTTACTTCTAGTTGTCTAAGCTTGAATATATGATACTAGCTTCGTTCGTGGTAACTAATTGGTCGGCCTTCAATTAACTAGCATATGTACGCAATAGAAACATGAAATTTAGTAGACCTGATCTGTAAGCACAAGAACACATACATAAGGGTGGTGGAGGCTAAGGCTAACCTGGAATAAAATTCGTGATCAAGAATGACATGTTTGGGAAGCATGTGCATGTGTGGTATCCTACTATTAGAGGCTCATAGAGTACATAGTTTTTTCATTTTTGGAATGAGATCGATAAACTTCTTCCTTTCTTTTTGGTAGTTTGTGAGGCCACTTTCACTTTCATAGAAGCTTCTTGTTTTGTTTGCATAATGCATGGAGAAACAAATAATTTTTGCAGGAAAATAAACTATGAAATATTTGATTGAATAACAATAATGATGAGCATGTATGTCTCCTATTGTTGGAAGGGGAATGCTATTAAATATGCATATATTACACAAATGCATGGATCTAGTGTTTTATCGCGGGGTTGCAGGCACAACTGCGTTTGTCGGAGAATTTGCAAGGTCAAAGACAAGGAAATCTCAGAGAACCATCTACTTGACAACCAATAATGAGCTAAGAAAAATTGGTAAGTGAACATGTGAATTATAATTTGGAAAACCAGTAAATGAATGATGGAATTTTTCTGTGCATAAACAAGCGACTTCTACGCTGGAAGATATCTATTATAGAGAACATTCATTTATTGTGTTAGTAAACATGTTTATTTTTTATTTTTTGAAGGGCGTAATAAACTTTAGTTTTCTAACTGAATTATAAGAAAAAAGTAGTCTAGAAACATTGAAAGAAGTCACGCGGAAGATTTGATATGAAATTTCTAGAGTAGTTGCCAGCCCGGTTATTATTAATCTTTATATGCACATGCACACCCTATACGAATATACGTATGAATAAGCATGTGCATTCATAAATATAGGTTTTGTGTTTTCCATATCTCATATACATGAGTACAAATTTACCAGGAAAATAGTGAATCCAAATCTAAAGAGTATAGAGGAGTGAGAAAGAGAAAGGGATAAAGTACCTCTCAAATTAATTTTGGAAGTTGGAACAATGGGCAGTAACGAAAATCTACATGCATGTATGTAAGTATAGTGCCGCCCCTCCCTCACACGAAGGTCGACAAAATGTGGCCGACACTATGGGTATTCCCGTTGCCACTCCCTTGTGCGAGCACGGTGGACGTCAAACCGCCGGCAGGCCTGACGGTGGAGGCAGGGAGAGGATCCGACAATTGAATGAAAAAGCTTAGTAGAAACAACAACACCATCTATTAATTAGCATTATCCATATATAGCATGTTTCCTTGTTTGGTTCTTGTGTCCATTGAAGCAAGAACACATGCATGCGGGAGGGCATCAGCAAAAAATAGCTAGGACAGTAAACTAGGCGTGATGAGCCCTACATTTTTAGATGTGAGGCAAGAAGCGCACGATTTATAGAATAAGCCCCAAATAATAGCCAGCAAGGTTAGCGCCTTACAATATTGCAAAAGGAAGGAGCTGAGCCGGGGATTTTTAGTTATGCGGTGAAAAAACAAGAGCCTGTAGCTAGAAGTATAATCAAGTTCATCGGTGATAAGCATAAACGTAGATATGCAATTGGTTTAAATCATGCATCCATTGTCTACTTCAAAT